ATGCGTGCGTGCGTGCGTGCGTGCGTGCGTGCGTGCGTGCGTGTGTGTGTGTGTGTGTGTGTGTGTGTGTGTTTTTTTGTGTGTGTGTGTGTGTGTGTCTATCAGCACACTGGTGAATAGATGACTTTTATGGAAGGTTGTGAATTTTTATGAAAATTTCCGACTTATATGAAGAGTTGCAAATTTTATGAAGAGTTGTGACTTTTATGAAGAGTTTCAAATTTTATGACGAGTTGCTACTTATATGAAGGGGTGCAAGTTTAGTGATAAATTAGTACTTTTATGAAAGATTGTTACTTGTCCAAAGAGTAGTGACCTTTCTGATAAGACACAATACACATTCATTCAAGCTACCCTTTGTATTCTATAAATAGAGGGATTTCCTGTAATTTTAAAATAACGGAAATACATGTCCTTTGCTCCAGTTGAGTGGCTCACTGACACCATTGTTTTTCTATCAGCACACTGGTGAATAGATGACTTTTATGGAAGGTTGTGAATTTTTATGAAAATTTCCGACTTATATGAAGAGTTGCAAATTTTATTAAGAGTTGTGACTTTTATGAAGAGTTTCAAATTTTATGACGAGTTGCTACTTATATGAAGGGGTGCAAGTTTAGTGATAAATTAGTACTTTTATGAAAGATTGTTACTTGTCCAAAGAGTAGTGACCTTTCTGATAAGACACAATACACATTCATTCAAGCTACCCTTTGTATTCTATAAATAGAGGGATTTCCTCTAATTTTAAAATAACGGAAATACATGTCCTTTGCTCCAGTTGAGTGGCTCACTGACACCATTGTTTTTCTATCAGCACACTGGTGAATAGATGACTTTTATGGAAGGTTGTGAATTTTTATGAAAATTTCCGACATATATGAAGAGTTGCAAATTTTATTAAGAGTTGTGACTTTTATGAAGAGTTTCAAATTTTATGACGAGTTGCTACTTATATGAAGGGGTGCAAGTTTAGTGATAAATTAGTACTTTTATGAAAGATTGTTACTTGTCCAAAGAGTAGTGACCTTTCTAATAAGACACAATACACATTCATTCAAGCTACCCTTTGTATTCTATAAATAGAGGGATTTCCTCTAATTTTAAAATAACGGAAATACATGTCCTTTGCTCCAGTTGAGTGGCTCACTGACACCATTGTTTTTATATCAGCACACTGGTGAATAGAATCGTTCTTTTCATAGAAGATATATTCCTTTAAATACATGAGTCTAGAATAAAATATTTTAATCTCTGTATACTTTCATAATGAAACAATCATATAGAAATATTCCTAAAAAGTCATAAACATACATTGATGAAGAATTCAGAATGACCTTCTACAGTTAAATGAAGAATGAGTTTCTATAAGGGTTAACAATATTATTTGTTGTTGTTTCAAATATATTTTTCTCCTTCTATATTTTTTTAGAATAACAAAGTAATAATAACGAAAAGTGAGAAACATTTGACCTCAAACAAGTAGATTGTCTCTCAAAATATTATTTCTGTTGTTGCTCTGTATACTTTTTAACAGACATAACTTATTTATAACTATATTATTTATCAAAAACTTTCACAAAATTTTTTACACAAGGAGTTATGATAACCATAAAACTATTAGATTCTACATTTCATGTATTAAAAAAAAGATTTTTAATGGCTACATAAAAACATTACTCAATTTTAACAAGAAAATTATATTATCAAACATATAATATGATAAATTATGTAAAAGATAAAAATAATTAAATATCAAGATATTTTTAACCATCAATTGTATATTAATAATTTTGAGATATGAGATAACGTCAAATCATGTAATTTGTCCATAAAGTTTCTAAAAACCTACAAAAATTTACGTTTTTCTTATAATAGTCGATCATTGGTAAAGTTGTTCAGAACGTTAGAAAGATTTCTTATGTACGCAGGTAGACTACCTAGTTGAAGAATAAAGGAAAAAATTACAAAGAATGTGACTAATAAATTTAAACAAAGACAAATTGAGAAAACAGAATATTAAAAAATAAAAAAGATAGAGCTTCACATTGAACCAATGAAGCCTTTTCATTTGTTTTGGAATCTTGGCCCAAAACTTCTCAGCCTTTTTAAAGTAAAAAAAAGGTGAAAAAAATATGCATAGAGTGAGAATCAAACTCGGCCATTCCATGCGGAACTTGAACCCCTCATTCATTAAGGGATCCTTCTCTTTAATATTGAGGGGTTTATTGTGATTAATATACTCATAAAACCAGAAATTGACCTTAAATATATAGTTGACCCCCTAGATTTCGCATGTATCCTCCACTGGGTGCGGGATATGGGTAGAGAAATAATTCACATGGATTAAACTCATAACTTTGTAAAACAGAGTAGACTAATCAGACCTCAAGAAATCCGTGTTGTTGTACAAGGAAATTGTTGGTGTTATCAGCTGAAGAAAAAACATACAATAAAAGAAGAAAAGAGAGACATAATATTAAGTTGAAAGAAGAAATGTTTAAATAGAAGGAACTCCTTACATTTTGTAGTACATAATTCAGTAACTGGAAAAAAAACTAGGCACTAAGTCTATCAATAACTCAACATGCCTAAAAACTAAGAAACTCAAAACTAAAAAACTAAAACTGAAATATTTATATTTAGAAAATAGAAAACACATCATCAGCGATGTCATCATGCCAACTCAACATCAATTAATAAATCAAGAGGTAGATTTCAACACTTCTCCTTGCATCAAGAGCTGCAAATTCCATGTCCCTTTACGAAGAACTCAAATTTGCTAGCCGGAAGAGTTTTGTAAAAATATCAGCCAGCTGCTCTTTCGTTCTGTAATATACCAGATTCGCTAAACCATCACTTGCACTTCTCTTAGAAAGTATTGCGTCACATTGAAATGCATGGTCTTTCTATGAAAAATTGGATTGTGAGAAATAGCAGTGGCAACTTTGTTGCCCACACATATTTTAGTTCTTTCCTTCATTTCCAACCAAAGATCGCATCAGATTTTCTTTATCAATAAAGCTTGATTGCCTGGTGCTGTAGAAGCAATGAATTCTGCTGCTGCAATTGATTGAGCAAGAATCTCTTTTTTTTAAACAACAAGAAAGGTGTCAATCACCAAAAATAAAACCTTACCCTGAAGTACTTTTCATATCATAGTCCATTTTGCCTGTGATATATCTGAGTACTCTTTTTGCAGCTTGTATATGCAATTCACTAGGAGAATCAAGAATCGGGATAGAACAATTAGATCATACAATACATGTGGTCTTGTTGCTGTAAGATACATCAAATAGCCTATCATCTTCTGCATATCCAGCAGGTTCAAATACGACTACATTTCATCTTTGATAGATACTTGAAAGTGATCTAGTTCCTCGAACGGAAGGATGATTAACTTGTTCCTCAAAATTGTGCAATTCATTAGCTTTTCTTTCTTGTTTTTCTCCATCCTAATCCGGTTGCTTTTGTTATAAAAATTCCACATCTCTGTATACCAAAAATTTTCCATTTTCAGATCGGAAAATTCTGTAAGCTTTTGACTGCAAAGCTATAGCCAATGAAATTCAAGGTTATACCTTCTTGTCAAGTTTATCCATTTTCAGCTAAGGTATGTGATAAAAGCATAAGCAACCAAAAATATTGAGATTTTTTTTGTAAAGGTTTGTAGGCATTCCATGCTTCAAAAGGTGTTTGACCAGTCACTGCCTTTGTAGGCAGCAAATTCAACAAAAATACAACAGTATTAGTTGCATTTGCCCATAACTCCTTTGGAAGCTCTTTCTCATGCAAGATACACCTTGATATCTCCTTGACGGTCGTAATCTTCCTTACGCGTACTCCATTTTGTTGAGGAGTATATGGAGTAGTGAGTTGATGCTCTATTCCAGCTACTTTACAAAAGTTTTTGAACTGATCTGAAGTGGACTAAGTCCCATAACTGATCTGAGCACTTGTAGTTTGCAGCCGCTTTGATTTTTACCAAGGCTTTTAATTTTCAAAAAACCATAAAAAACCTCCAATTTTAATTTTAAGAAGTATATATAACATCCTTGTTATGTCATTAATAGAAATCATGTAGTACCTGTTTCCTTTCAATGATAGAGTTCTTTGGGGTCCTCCAAGATCTATACGAGTCAGCTGCAATTTTCAATCGCTCTCCAAGTTAATTTTGGGAATCACAACTTGGGATTTTTTTTTCAAGTGAAGGTAAACCTTTTACAAACCCTTTTTTTTGCATATACAAAAGCGCCCTATGGTGAAAGTGACCCAACCGTTTGTGCCATGTTTCTCCAACACCGGACTTAGTTTGATTCCAATTGTTCTTCATCCCTTAGATTTAAAGAAAAACTTTTTCCCTGCATTTTAATCTAAATGGTTCCTCGCCACTTGGATAAATGATTAGACACACCTTATCTTCAAAAAGTAATTTGAACCCACTTTCAAGTAACCGTCCAACATTTAATAAATTTTTATCAAGTTCAGAACTAAATAGAACTTCAGAAACAAATTTTGTGCCTATATAATCTCAATAACTACAGTCCACTTTCCTTTTGTAGGGAGGTATTCTCCATTTCCAATCCTGACTCTTGATGTTGTTGTTTTATCAAGCCTTTTGAAAAGCTTTTCATCACTCGTCATGTGGTTTGTAAACACTATCAATAAGACAACTGTCACTTGAAATACTAGATGCAAAACTTGATGCAACAAATAAGTGTTCTTTCTCATGTTGATTTGCAACTTGAGCTTCTCCTTGTTCTTGTTGTTGTCGTCCTTTGTCTTTGTAGATGATCTCATCATGCCCATGTTTTTGATATTTTGGCATCTCATATACGGATTTCTCCAGCATTTGAAGTGAGGATAATTCTTCCTTTCACAATATCGACATGGGAGAATTTTTCTCCTTTGTTGCTGCCTTAATTGTAGCTACTTCCTTTACCAACGGAAACCAGACTATTTTCTACATAATTCTTCTTCCCTTTGATTTTCTTTTTTTTTCAAGGATAGTTTTGACGATTGTCCTGAAGTGAACCTTCTACCGATCCTTCCTGTCTTATTAACGTTCTTTGCTCGTGTACGTGCAATGCATTTTGTAATCCTTCCAAAGTTATCCTTGAAAGATCCTTATTATTTTCTATGGAAGCAATGGTTGGTTCAAAATTCTCAGGTAATGTAACAAGAAGCGTGTCAATAACTCTGCTATCAGGAAGCTTATTTCCAAACATTCTTACCTTTATCACAATGCTAAGAAGCCTGTCTAAGTATTCTTTGACATTTTCAGAATCTTTCTTTCTTTGTTCCTCAAATTTTCTAATGATATACATAGCTTTCATACTTTTGATTCGCTCATCTCTTTGGTATTCTTGTTTTAAAAAATCCCAGATTGCTTTTGTTGATTCCAACGACATGATTCAGGGGTAAGTTGTAGGTGATAGTGCAACATATAATCAAGATTTCGCGTTGGATTTTCTTAACTTCCTTTACTTGTTAAGCTTGACCTGAGTCATTGCTGGATTGCTTGGTAAAGCAGATATTATGTAATCCTCCTTTACTAGTTCCAGAGATTAGTTCTCTCCATAAAACATTGGTGGAAAAATAGCAGAAGAACCCGAAGAGTTTTTTGAATTCATGTTTCTGATGGCTTTTTCAAGGAAACATGTAGGGACTTTATTGATGGTCCCCTCATACTACACTCACAAGTCCCTTAATAAGAGGACTCTGATATCAATTTTTTGGTGCTAGCAGCTAAAGAAAAAACATACGACAGAAGAAGAAAAAGAGAGATATTACATTAAGTTGAAAGAAGAAATATTTAAATAGAAGGAACTCCTAACAATATGTAGTAAATAATACAGTAACTACAAAAACATAATCTTCCTAATAAGTACGCACTAAGTCTACCAACAACTCTACATGCCTAAAGACTAGGAAACTCAAAGCTGAAAAACTAAAACGGGAATGTATATCCATTAAAAACAAAAAAAAACATCACCAATCATGTCATCATGTCAACTCAACATCAATTAAAAACTTATGAGGCAGATTGTAACAGAAATATAGTCAGTAAACTCTTTTATCTTTATCTTGGTTATACTTGTTTAAATTTAATATGATAAACATTTCTTAATGATTTCTATTGTTACCACAAGAATTCATTCTTTATATTTATCTTTTTTTTGGATAGTAAATTATCTATTTTTTTTTGCCAGCCATTGTGTACTTGAAATGAGCATTTACTTAAGTCTAAAAACTTTCTAATGCAAAATTATCAAAAACAAACAGTCTCTCATTTAACTATTATCTAAATCGTGTTTGATGATAGATATTTCCTATTAAGTTCAAAGCATGTAACGTACTCATTGTCCTTCAATTTGTATAACAAATTTTTCTCTCTTAATTTCTATAGTTAACATGGTCTTATTGTACTTTTTAGTTTTACTAAAATTTAGGGTTCCAAAAATGTGGAAGTGGTGGTGGTAGAAGGACAACATTAAAGGGTGTGAACTTGAGCACCAATGCATTTCAGGGTGGTTTCCATAGACGGCAAGTTTCATATGAGTGGAGATTTTTAGTTGTTGTCCAGGGAGCTCAAATGATTCTCTTGGAAACAACATCCGTTAAAATTTATACTATCAAAATTTTTCAGCTGAGAAACTTGTATTTTTTCTGAATTTAAATGGGAGTAATATCAAAGAATTTTGTTTGAATTTGTAGGTTCATTACTCGATTCTGCAATTTTACGTGTTTTGCTTTATTGCAACTAAGTGAAATAAAATCTTACTAGAAGTTATTTTGTTTACTTTTAGTATTGTAGAAGTGTCAAGAAGTTGGATTGCAAACTCTTCAAAAGAATTCTAAACTTCAACGGTTCACGAAATCTCGAGACTTTGGTGCTTCAGAATTGCTCAAGTTTGAAGAAGATCTATCCATTAACAGGAAAATTGGATAGACTAAATGGTCTATCTTTGTATTGTTGCAAAAAGATTATGGTTCTTCTAAGCAACACATGCCAGATAAAATCCCTTGAATGCTTTGACATTAGTTATTATTCATCTTTACAAACAGTGCTAGTTGGTATTGGAGATATAGAGAGTTTAAGGAATCTTCTTGCATGTGATGCCAGTATAAAACAATTGTCTGCTGAAATGTTAAGAAGACCAAATATATAATCCTTTCAATGAACGTTCCACAAGACTATGCATAGAGAGATACTGGGAGTTTATTTTACTTAATTGCTCAAGATTTGAGCTGCAACAATTTTCTATATCTACCATTTCGTTTTTTGAAGTTACCATTGCTGATTTCCTTGTGTTTTAATGATTTTGACAATCATCAAACACTGTCGTCAATATTGAATTTCGAGTACCTTGAAATTCTTTAACTTAGAAACTGCCGAAAATTGGTCATTACAGTGTTGACAACCTTCCTCCAATTTAGAAGATCGACATGATTAATTGTACTTCTCTGCAGATTCCATTTGATGAAGGCTTCTTTAGTGCCCCTGCTCTATCGATTCCATCTAGGAAATATATGAGTATGAAGTTAGTACTCTCTCTTTATCTCGCTCGTATCACATTATTAATTATTTAGTTGTAACATCTCACAATTTTAGAAATCGTTAGGAAAAAGCTTAGAACTGGAAATAGGCATTTTTGGAAATAATTAAATGGATATTTACTTGAGTTAGAAAAAATGAGTTTTTGGTCAACTTCAACCAGTCAGAATTCCTATCTCAGGATGAGTTAGGTGTATTTCAAGATATGGTTTGTATGAGTAAGTTATACCCTTTGTATGTTGGTCTGTTCAGTTAAAGAATTTCTCAATCTGGATTTTAGAAGGGTAGGTTGATCTTTTACTAAACATTATGAGGCATTTCCTATCACAAATCATAATCCTTGAATTCATAATTTAAATCAAGGATAATGAAGGGTCAATTCAAAGTAAAGTAAAGTCAAGAGTCAAGTCCCGACAAGTTTATCCAAGATTTCCGAGTTCTTTTACAAATGTTTTAACTTTGTTTTAACACTTAAAGTTCACGATAAGTTAAGCAACGGGTTGAGATTTGAAGGTCATTTCTTCAAAAGTATACGGGGACTAAATATTCCAGAAGTATTAAAAATGTTCACATTTAAATATGAATGGAAAATGAGATTTCCAAAGAGCCTTTGGGCTAGTTTTCAGAGAAGAATAACTTCTTTCTAAATGAAGATAGAGAGGAAACATTGATTTCCAACATAGGCTTTGAGCTAATTTTTTGAGAAATAATCTCAAATCATAAAAGGAAGTAGGTTTCTAAACATAAGAGCTAATATTATATATTTTTTGGAGTAGTATTGAGGACCAATATGATGAAGAGTTCAGACAACTCACAGCCCCCATAAACCATCTATCAACCATGGATAGAAAAGGGTCAATACTTTTAAGATGATTCCTTTAGTGCTTTTTAGCATACACGAGTGGATCTACTTAGTAGTTTAGGTTCTATGCTAATGGCAAGGTATAAAAAGGCCCAGGAAGTATGAGGCAAAATGACCTACCATCATAATAGCTCTTATGTGATGGTTGTCGATTAGAGAAATTGCTACATAATTTAATTGTATTTTATATACACACATACATCTCAGAGTTATTGTATCTTTGCATACATATAGAGTTAATATCATGTTTTAACTAACCTTTCTTGATATTGCATTTGTTTTAAATTCCTCTATAATGAGTTCAGTCTTGTAGAGTTGATTTGACCAAAGTAAGTTGTTCAAATTTCCATTCAAGCCTATGTTTATATGTTACCATTCCAACTGTCATACTCGTACATTCAATGTACTGATTCCAGTTTTAATGCATCATATTATGATGCAGATACAGGTAGGTAGGATCGACATCCAATGAGTTGTTCAGAGTTAGTTGGTGAGCCTCCTTGTATTCCGGAGGATCCATTTAATTGCTTTCAGTATTAGTTTTACTTTCATTAGGATGTTGTGGGGCTTGTCCCAACATCCATCTCAGTTATTTTTAGAGGCTTCATAGAAATATAATATAAGTTGTTTAGTCTTATTAATTTTAGTTGTATAGTTTAAGACTTGAGTTACCATTTTGGATAAGAAATTATTTTTTTAAGTTATTACATGAACTTATCTTTGTTGAGTTTAAGTCTTGAGCTGAGTAAGTAAGTCAGACCACGGGTTTGCTTGGGGCCAGCAATGGTTCTTGAGTGCCAGTCCCGTTCAAGGTGTAGAATAGGAGTGTGACACTAATTATGTCTTTGTCTAATGAAGTAGGGGTTATAAATACATCTCTAAAGCAATTAAATTACATCACTATTCCCATGTAACAGAATTATAAGTTCTTAGGAATAGTTCTCTTTTTTGTTTGTGACTTTAAAGCTTTATCCCATTATGAACTCATCATTGTTATTGTATTGAACAACAAGCTTTTATTTTTTGATTGGACTAGGTATATATGATAATATCCCATTTTGGACGCTTCATTGTAGGTTTTTTGAATTTGAATTGTGTTTGTTTTGAAACAACTAACAAATGTATTTCACGAACTGGTAATTGGAATTACAAAGAAATTTAAGAAAAAATGGAAATTGAAGAACACAAGTAGAAGAATGCGATGAGAAGTAGAACTCATAGAAAGGGCATGAGAGGACTAAACATGTTTCTCAAAATTTTTCATAATCTCAAAATCATATATCACTATCCTTTATGATGGAACCGTTTCTTTACTACTACTTAGCCCAGATTCCTAATAAACCTGATCCTATTGCTCGTTCTCAACCCAATAACTCTTGTTAGAAAAATAACGACTTGTTTGGCATTAGTATATATATTGGGCTGGACATGATTCATAACCAAAATGGTGTTGAAGCTGTTGGAGCTTAGTTTGGAGTAAAACAGTGTTTTTTCAATGGACATACTTAGGACATGACTCAATAAACAACCAACATGGTGAAAAGGAACAAACTTTCTACCTGAATCTGAAACAGATTGTTGACACATCATTAACTACAAGAAGAGGGTTGGAATCCAAATCACTCACCGCTACAGAGAAGGAAACCAAGTAGCTGATTTTCTTGTTGCCTTTTTCATTCTAAGGACACAGGTAGACACTAATACTAGTGAACCTACTATACTCAAACATAGAGGAACAACAACCTATAGATCATAGAGGCAAAACGAGTTGCTACATAAGAGAAATTGAGGAGACACAGGATTGTCTAAAGTATGTCACTACGGCTACAACTGTGTTCCTTCCGATCCGATCCTTCCATCACCACCTATAACTAGAGGTTGTCATTTGAGGTGTATCCAAGAAAGAAAGTAAGCAAACAAGTACAGATTGGTACTCACAACAAAAACTCAACCTAGATCTCAAGTAAATATATTGTTTGATGTTTAATTTT